CAAGCATTCTAACTTATGAATATGGTAGTACCAGGAGGAGGTAGATTTCCCCACCCCCACATTTTTCCCCTAGGAACAGAACAATATCTACTGGTTTTGCCAAATAAACTGGGTTTACACTATGGCTTGATTCCCGGTACGTAATTAATATTCTTCATGGACAGCGTGTCTTCAAATAGCTGGCTAATATTTACACTGAGAAAAAGTCTTGCAGTCCCAGCTTCGGTTGGCCGGAGACAGAAACTTTAGTTTCATTTTCTTATCTTGCGGTGACACACTGTAAAGGCAAAGTGGTGTGTACAAAGTATGGCATTTCAAGGCTTACAGGAACAAACATAAATATACAATTCAACAGGCAAATAAAAGATGCCATTGTATTTCCCCTCTCCTCTTCCCTGCTTTGAAGGTCACATTTTTCAGAAAGGGAATACAACTGTGAACATAGATACTAAATTACATTCTTATGCAGAAAAAATGGCAAACAGCAGTTTTTACTGGAAACTTGCCAGATCTCCATTTTTGCTATCTTTCTGCTATATTTGCAAAATATGTGTGTGTGTGTGTGAAAGTTTTATATATATAATTTGCATTTTTAAAAGTGATCCCACAGAATGTGTTTTTCAAAACGTATTTTAATGAAGCATTCACCCATGGATTACTTTCAAATGCCGACAGCTCTCCAGAGTTAATAGGTAATATGCAGCAGGGGGAAGGAATGGCTGTACCTTAAAATGCTTTGCAAGCAAGTTAACTTCCAAGAGGTACCTTTGGGCAAATCTCATCACCAAGAGCAGATTCTGTTACTTTTGACTTTACTAGCACTCTCCTACTAGCGTAGTAAAATGAAGAAACGCTGCTTGTGGCTTCATTTAGTGGGGCTGCGACCTGGAGCCACTGGTGTGAGGGAGGATCAGTTAAAGGTGAAAGACAATGGGTATCGGGGAAGAGGGGAGGCCAGGGTTGCTGCCTCCTACCCCTGCCGGGACACATGAATTCCTGTCAGGTAGGGAAAATCCTGTGCCCTGGATCAACTGGCACCCAGCCGGGCGCTGGCAGCCCCGGGTCACGCCGGCCCTGCCGGCCCCTGTGGCACAGCCACCCTGGAAGGGCACACGGCTGCGCTTCGCTGCCAGGTCCACATGAGTGCTGCGGCCTGTCCTGGTACGAGTCGCTTCGCTGGAGCGAGTGGCTCCCCCGGTGCCCAGGGCCGCTCCCGGCCGGCCTGTGCGAGGCGCGAAGGCCGCAGCCGCCCGCCGGAC